CGTGTTTACGTTAGTTGGTTTTTATATTGGGGGGAGGTAGTAAATATATCATTATTGGTGTTTATCAATACATCAAAAAAAGGGATTTTATTGTTATTTTTAAGTTCGTACGTGAAATTAAGGACGGAGGTTTTTCGGAAAGTATTTATAACAGCAATTACCGAATTTACTATGAATATATAATTCAGTATTTAGTTTTGACTAATTCAAAATTTTTTTAGAAGTTTCGATGTATAGTACGATTCATAGTACTAGATGTTTCGAAAAATTGGTACAGTCCCAAATTATTCGCCTCTTATGTAAATTATGAAATAATATTGCTCTATGGCAGTTGTAAAGATTTTCTTAATTTGACATTTAATACAAACACCATTTGAAAATGAAATAGTATTGACCTGATTTTATAACATTCAAAAGGTAAAGAAGACAATATGTGAGCGCCACCTACTGGGATATTTCCATCGTTCTTCAACAATGATGAAGACGGCTAAACTTGACAAGAAGATTTGAATGAAGAAAGGTGATGTGTACAATCAAGGTGATGGATATAGAACACTTTCCAAGGTGATGGATATATAGCGATGTGAAATATTTTTAAATAAAAAATATTATATATATATATATATATATATGTGTGTGTATGTGTGTGTGTGTGTGTGTGTGTGTGAATGTATGTATGTATAGGCGAGTGTTTAGAACATTCACCCTTCGCTTTACGACCTTGAAACCCGAGTTCGAATCTTGTTATGGTTGATTTGTCAGAAAGATGAATATATGAATGTTATTGGTCTTATTGGAAGGCGATCCTAGTTTTGAGAAGTGCTTGAAAACCATACCACGTGTTGAGCCAAACCGTGTAGACTGAACTGGAAGGAAGACGTCAATGGTTGTGTCAGCACAAAGTCATAAGTCATCATACCTGCGCGTTGTTGAATCTGCTTACACACACACACTAACATACACACGCACACACACACACATATATATATATGTATATATATTTACAGTTATGGACAGAATTATTCACTTCTAGTGAATATTTGCATATTTTCTAAGAAAATGCGAATATTTGCAAGTACTTACTGGATTTATCATAAATAGTTGATTTCGTATTTAGTTTTCAAGAATTCGTGAATTTTTTAGAAGTTTCAATCTATTATATTCATAGTTATAGATTTTTCTCAAAATTGTTGCAGTCCAAAATTAGTCACCTCCGCTTATGAAAATTATGAAATAATATTGCTCTGTTCCAATTGTAATGTTTTTTTTCTTAATTTGACATTTAATACAAACACCCTTTGAAAATGAAACAGTATTGACCTGATTGTATAACAGTCTAAAAGGAAATGAAGAATATTATGGGAATCCTACTTACCGCCATAACTCTTTCATTCTTCAACCATGGCGTAGACAGTTGAACTTGAAATGAAACTCCGAATGTAGACAGTTAAATGCGTACATACATGGTGATGGATATACAACTCTTTCCAAGCGTTTAAATCTTCCTAGATCGACAATTCACAGCATTATTAAGAAGTATGAGACTCATTGTATTGATAATAAATTAAGGTCTGGTAGAAAATGGTTAATTTCTGAGAGAATTTAAAGGAAAATTGTTGGAAATGTCTCGAAGAATTCTCACTTAACGACAAAAGACATTGTCAATGATATGAAGACATTAGGGTTGAATATATCGATGAAGACAGTCACGAGATGCTTTCATCAAGCAGGGCATAGAGCTTCTCGCCCAAGGAAAATTCCCTTGCTTGAGGCTAAAATGCAGATTAGCAGATTAAAGCAGATTAGCCTATTCTAGATGCCATGTAGATAATGAGAGTATATACTGGAACTCTGCTTTATGGTCAGATGGAACCAAACAAGAATTATTTGGTCAGAAGAATTCCCGTTATATATGGAGGAAAGTAAATGAAGCTCACAAACCAAAGATACCTTCTCCTACAATTAAGCTCGTTGGTGGGAGCATTCTGCTCTGGGGATGTTTTGCTGCTTCTGGACCAGGAGAACTAGTGAGAGTACAGGGTATAAAGGTTTCTATTTAGCTAATCGAATAATATAAAACGAAGTGCACGAAAGCTGTCTTTAGATGTCACTGAGCGATCCAACATAACAATAATCCGAAACGCACGGTAGGAATTGGTACGAAATACTTAGATGATAGCAAAATTAAGTTATTGGTGTACCCCGTACAAAGTCCTGAATTTATGGGCATATTTGAAGAAAAAAGAAAGATGTCCTTTGAATTTGGAGGAACTACACCCTTGTGCAAATTAACTGAAACAAAATAATACCGTCATTATTTACTTTTTTTTTCGTATTTTTCCAATGAAACATGGCCAAGTATACATGTTAGTACTTCGTATGTCCATTCCACGAATTCGTTTCTTGCAGAATGGCCACAGATTCTCGATTAGATTTAAATCAGGAGAGTTTCCAGGCCAGTCTATAGTGCTTTGATTTGCCCACTGGTAAGGCTTGCAAGTGTGTTTGTGCAGTGTTACAATTTTCATAGGCTTACGTGGAGTAATTTAAATCGCAGACAATGTCCGTTGCAGTCCCAAATGCAAATTAACTAATAATTAGTTAACTCGACAGTCGAGACAACAATGCCTGGACGTGAAAAAAATCTGATGCAATCAGGGATGACGCAATATTTTTCAAGGCCTAACAAATGTCATCATACACACCGAAAAGAGATTTATATTACTGCACACAACTGCAAATGACCTAATCTAAGAAAAAATAGAAATCGATTACACCCTGTCATTCCAGTGGATGTAAAACTGACCATATGGTGAAAGAAAGGTAACTAAAACAGCTTGATTTTATTTGCACACGGGTGTAGAAGAACAAAGAAGAATGGAGCAAAAAATCTATTAGTGTGTGTAGCGATCTTATAAGGAATTATAAAAAATAATTAAAGACAATAATCAAGAATATTGCTTACACAATTGATTATTGAGGCGGAGGGGGGCAATAATTTTATCCTATGTTAAATGTTTTCGGCGTTTGTTTGGTATTATTGTTTGACATTAAAGTAAGAATTTTGTTCTGGGAATTACTGCACATTCTTTCAAATCCATTATTTCATCATTTGTGAAAAAAATTCACATGAATTTCCACGTTCTGGGTATGACGATAAATTGCGTCCAACAGCAAGGCTTCTGATCAGGAGGTTTTGAGGAGCGTAGAACTACCTCTTAATTGCTGGTGTTCCCAGGTCCACCATGACCTGGGGTGGTAGCACCTGTTAGGATCCCAGCTATGGGTAAATAGTTAACTCTTAAACTGGGGTAAAAATACTATGAAAGTGTATAAATAGGTTTTAATATCAGAAATATTTTCTAAAAACATTATTATCAGTAATAAAATTTTCAAAAGAAATATTACAAGAAATACGTTTTGGAAGGAAAAAATATTACTAGAAATAGATTTTTGACAAAACAAAATATTAAAAGCAATAAAAATTTTGTCAGCATTAAATAAACCATTGAGGTTGATATATATATATATATATATATATATATATATATATATATATATATATATATAAATTTTTTGGAACACATAAACATTTTTTTAAATATATATACTCAAGCCGGAAATTTACCTACATCATACCTAGTTACCTCCCCTTAAACATTTTAATAACAACTTCCCCAACTACATCGTTGACGAGCAAATAAGATGTTCCGCCAGTGACCTCTATACAAAACATATAGACCATAATATACCTCCAACTAACCCCCAAAATATCAACCTTTTATATCATAACCAAATGCATGCTAATTATAAACAAGACGAAAATGTCCTAAAAATTAATAAAAACTAATACCTCCACCACAGACCCTAGTAAAAAAAATAAAACTTATTATATCTAAATTCACTACATCTAATAAAATCTTTCGTAATGACTCTTCCCCGGTCACTTGCGTGTTTCAGAAAACCAACATCGTTAATGAATTTAAATGTCCAACGAAAAAAAAATAATATCTATGTTGGACACACGACAACAATGCTTTCACGTAGCCTAAATCTTCATCTGAATAATACTTCCAATATCTCTAAATACTTACAACATACGTGCCCACACTGGCAATTCAGAAAAATCCTCGTCGAAAATACCTCCATAGTTTTCCACGAAAAGAATAAACAGAAACTAAAAATTCTCGAAGCTATTTATATAAAGAAACTGAAACCAAACCTCAATAAAATTAATTACGAATACTCCACAAACATTTTAAAATGTGTACAATAATTAGTCTTTAATAATTAGTCTTTAATAATTAGTCTTTAAATGTTAACGCTTGTTATTAATAGTTTTTTCCATTATCTAACAACTACTCAAATCCGGAACTTTTCTACAGCATACCTAATTACCTGAAAATATGCATTTTTACCTATGTGTTCAGACTTTGCGGGTAACCTACCTTTTTTTTTTACTATTTTCACTAAAAGCTACAAAGAATAGGAAGTTGTGAAGAGCCATATTACCCACATTCTGAAGTGTCAGCGTATATAGAAGCAAACTTTTCAGTTCGCCATCTTGTTCCACAGAAACATTTTGTGCTTATTTTAACAATTATTTATCCTCGTATAAATATTTTCATGGTAATTCATCTGAAATTTCATTCACTATATTTTTGTTACCTCCACAGATGAAACATGGTTTTGTCGAAAGAAAAAAGACTTGCTTCTTTTCCTTGGGTATGCTAAAAGAGAAGGTGTACTCAATGAAAATCACAGATGCAACACACTTGATTGAATGCATAAAGAGTGAATGTGTTAAAATTGACTGCAATGTGGAGTTACTGCATCGAGGTCATGTGAATCTTGCAAAGCCCATCAACCTTTGTATTACAAATGATGGAAATCGTATTGAAGATGATATTTGGTAATATTCCAGTTCAATAAAATGTTCTTGTAAATGTAATTTCTTGAAAATATTCATTTTTGCACACTTTAGGGATACCTCCATTATT